TCCTTAATCAACACAGCCGTAAACATATTCTACAGGAAACAGTCTTCCCTCTAGAGCTTCATTAAATACACAGAGCGTCGAAAGTGATGAGATTGATATTTATTTAAGATAAGCAATTTTTGAGAAATTTTGTCGAGTTAGGTCAGCCAGAATTCTCCAATTTTTGTTTTTGGGCAAAGAAAATTTTCGGGGATGAAATGCGCGCTACACTACCATCCAGTTAGGATTCATTTTATTCGCATCGTGCGAAGAACACAGACATTACAAAAATGCACGATATTATGCAGGAGAATTAATTGTCTGCCCTCTTGAGGCCTCTCTTGGATTTGCTTGTGTCATTGACTCCAACCCGCTACCTCCTCTTCTCGTAACCACCCAGCTGGGGCGTATATTGACAGAGAACAATACTGTACGTATCCAGCTTACCCCCGGTCCAACCCCATCCCCAGAGTGCGCGTATCTTGCCCGCTTCGTACAACAATAGGATGAGCTGAGCCCAGTGCATCACTAAAGCCAACAATGGCTGATCGTTTTTATAGAGAGATTCTAGTAGGCGTGTAACCAGTCAGCCGTACCCTGCTTTCAGGCACGCGGAGGTTGCAGAGTGGACTGTTGGTTGCGTTGCCCCTCGGTTAAAATAGAATCAACTTTACTCAGTCTTCGACACTTACACTGTATGCTTTCTTCCACAACGTAAAATACTTGTGTGTGATAATAAAACGTTTGAGACTAATGTAATTTTATAAATAGAAGACCAAGGACCCACGTGACATATTTTGAATAGAAAGATATAAGAAACATAATTTATAAGGCGTGTAACTATTTCAGGCAAGAGAATGGAAACTGTGTGTGTGTGCACAGTGATTCAGAATTTCAAAAGCTTGATGTAGTTTAGTCTGTGTCGCTGAGATAAACTATTATTCACTGGCGATCAGGATTGCCTATAGCAAACATGTGGATTCAGAAACTTTATCATTACACTTTATAACATTTAAAGAAGAAGACATTTTGGAAAGCATTCTCAAACATTTTACACATAATTTGCTTTCTTATATTAAGTGGTGTTGGTGTTGGACCTTCGGGTTCTACTATCAGGGAGTTAGTTAGTTAGTTAGTTAGTTAGTCAGGTAGTTAGTTAGTTAGTTAGTTAGTTATATTAAGTGGCATATTTGGCCCTACTGAATCAGAAAATAGATTACCGCCACGTTGGCATTGTCGATAGTAGATTATTTATGAAAATAAAGTCTTCTCAAATGTTAGGCCCAGTTTTGACCAACTTAGGTTTTCTTTTTTGCCTGTCAAGTAGTTAGGGGAGAAGACACACACGTGTATAGGCGTGCAGATAATGCACATACCTGGGCGGAAAGTGGGCTAAAGTTATAAGGAATGACGAGTGGGAGATGTTACAACACTCAATGTTAACAAAAAATAAAACAGCACATCAAAATTGAATTAAATGCATTTAATTTAATTAAATAACATGTGACAATTGAAGGCAGTGCCATGAATCCTGTGTTTGTGCATAGATTTTCTTGTAAGATTTGGGGTTTTCACAGCGGTGAATATGAAGATTTCCATCTTCTGGGTTGTCGCGCCGTGTAGTATGGTAGATGTTTACCAACGTTTCAGAGGTAATACTGCCTCCATGAATGACAGCCCATCGAAGCCATGTACACATCACATAGCTCCTGGTTATAAAACGTCCTGTATTTCAGACTTAATCTTACATAAAGACTTAGAACAGAACCTCACTTTGTTAACTGGGACTGCCCAGTCCATCATTAACCTCCTAGAGCGATATGGGAGGTTCATTCCGTAAAGGATGGACAGACACAAGGATAAAAGAGGGATAATCAGGCAGATAAAAGGAAAATAAAAAAGCTAATACACCAAAACTAATGCTGTTTTTTTTTCTTTCCACAGCTACAGCCCCAAGCTGCTCAGAGGTATAAAACAGTTAACACGACACAATGGAATTGTGGATGCAGCCAAGTAAGTACTTCCCCTGAATAAACGAAGCTCTGCGATGTTTCTCTTCGGTAACAATAACAACCAACCTGTGAGAAAGTAGCAATATTTTTTACGCATTGCAGAAACATTCCAGGATTACGTAGGCTATATAATTTTCTGGAAGCTAATTTAATTACTGAAAATTTAATTTGTACACGAATATAACTATCTGAAAGCGATTTTAATTACTGCAAATTGTCCTGATTACGTTACGTATACTATGAACAGAAGGGCTGGGCTTGGAATTGATCGCATGGGGTTCAGTTCCCGTCACGGGGCCGGAGGCTGCAGTTGACAGAGGTCAGCATTTCTGCTTCGTATGTCACATATCCTGGGTTAGATAGTCGTCATGGAGGCCGGATATGATTTTCTCAGTACTTCTAGATAAATTCTGCGATAATGTCTTACAACGGGAAGTGAACGTTTTTGTCACACTTCACAATTTACCGTTCGTAGTTATGTCCCTGTTAGATGTTACATAATGTGAAGAGCTGAGAGCGTCATCGTATAAACTAAGAAAGAATGTTGGTGTTGCAGTCGAGAGGTGGATTGTGAGCCCGTGTGTGTTACTGTATGATCGCTTTGCCAAAGCCATTCCGGTGAGACGTTTAAGAAGTCGACATGCTCTGAGTGCCAGAGTTCTGTACAAGTCTGTGCGCTTATCACATATTTAATTAATTTAATTACGCGTTTCCAGCTGGATAGGCTACGTAGCTTAGGTACAGTTATCGTATGACCGGTGAATCTGACAAGATATGAAGGGCGCGATCATGGCCCGTTTTAAGGTTCTAACTTGGCATTTGCTTCAACGGAGAAAAAGCATGAAAAATCTCTAGATATCCGGTCTACGGGCCGAGATGCTATCCGAGAGTTCCTCCAATTCAAAGAAGATATTCCAGCTGCTCTACCGCAATGTCCCGACAACCACAAAATGCATTTTACACTCAAAAGTTTAAGTAAAATTTACTTTGATCTTCGGTTTTCCTGTTAGTACGTATTGATTTGTGGAGATGCTCTTCGGTCAGAGAGTTTAGTTGTGGCAACTCCAGAAGCATTGCGCTGAAGTTTCATCTGATACTTCATCCAGGCAAGAATTCCTCTTTTGGAGAACCTCCTTTTCTCCAGCACCCTTACTGAAGGTGTAGGTGCGTGAGAACTGTGGATGTTCTGTTGTTGACAGCTGAATAAGAAACGCGACGGGTGGTACATTAGGCAGGTTTCATCGTGTCTTATATTCGCGCGATTACGTAACCCGAAACGCTGTTAAAAGGAACTTAACACATTCAGGATATTTTAGGTTTTTCACTCAAACCTGCAGAGATTTATTTTACAAAATTACTCCACATCAAATCAAACGTATTTAATTTTATTCGATTTGACCGTTTGTAGCTTCATCGTGCGTTACCACATAAACAATGTTTATAATCATCAACTCTTACGATTAGGTCTTGTGGCCTGTTCAAATTCAGAATTAGTTCTGAAATTATGAATCAGTTTAGACATTTAGCAAGGAGTGAGCAAGACTCCTTGGACGGGGGTTTGTCTGTCGGAAGGCCGAGCTATGTTTAGCCTGTTTTAAGTTCAATAGCTTACACATCAACCCGCCTGTATTCTGTTTTTCAGTTTTCAGGCTGATCAGGTGAGTTATTTTAATTTACGTTACTAGTTTATTTAAATGTGAAGAATCTCGTCACAGCGGTCAGCGCGCACTTTTCATTCTTATTTTGAATTTAATTTTAGCACCTCTTGACAGGAAGAATCCGACTCCATCAAGATGAGTCTCTGTTTACTATTAGTGACACAAATCCTATGTTTGAAATACAGAATATAAATAGTCATGAATTTAAAAAATCGCTATTATAATGAAGGCAGCGAGCGCTTCTGAAACGTCCTACCAGACTACACAGCGCAACAGCCCAGAAGACAGTTGTCTTCAGACTCGCGCCGTGAGAATCTGACATCTCTCAGTTCCTACAGGACTTTACACTCAATTCAATTGCAGGCCTGCTCTTCCTAAACACGATGCTTACTCGCGAATGAAATTCAACTTCACTTCATTCTCTTACATACATCCATTGATAAATACGGTCTCATGTCTCAAATCATACCTTAAAATTCCTTAGAAATTCCTTTCAGCCGTTTGCAACGCCATATTTATTTCCCACCATCTGTAGATACGATTCCTGCAAAGCAATTTTAAGTACCAGTTCTACAGAATGTCAGTATACGAATGTTAAGAAGATAATACGGGTTCACAGAATCCCCAGAAAAATCCACTACAAATCAATATGGACTTTCCCCTCAAGTTCTCTTGTTGCCCTCCTCACTCCTTCATAGCAAACATAGTTTGTGCAAACAAAGCGATTTCTATAGACAGCCATCTCTTCATAGCTGCTCGTTTCGGGGAACAGATTGCCAACAAGCCCAACCTGAAAGAGGCTATAAGCAAAGCAAATATTTATGTAAGTCTTCCATAGGTCGTTTACGAATTATATAAAACACATTTTATTTACTGCTAAGTAAAGCCTGGAAAACTTAAGGCCTGGGGACTGGATAGAGGCACTTGGGCACCACCTCGAACCAGGAGGGCTGGAGAGAAACTTCTGCCGTTAAGAATCTGCTAAATAGTTATGAATTGTTCGCATAGATTTAACATTTTTTAAAGATATACTGAAACACACGTCGCATTTGATTATAATACGGCCGCTTAAATTGCGGTTGGTGTTCTAAGTGTGGTAAGCCAAGCAGGCATATGTTCAATGGGCTCGACTCTACCACTCACCAACAGCTAAAATGGTACCAACGCTGCTTGATGTTTGGGGTACAGGCTCTAGGAACAGCCAATATCTTAGAAAATACCAGCTCTGGGTGAGGGTTTTATTAAAATAGCTCAACCTGTCGACCCTTCATTCATCTCTCTCTCTCCCCCCCCCCCCCCCCCAAATCCAGTTGTACATAGGTTTGTATTAAATACAAATATTTGTCCATGGTGATCTTCTGAGCTGTGACCTCGAGTGAACTGAACATTAAGGCTGTGTTTTCCTCCGAAACGTTGATACCCACTCACGAGCCCACACGGCATTACTTCGCTGCGTTGAGAACATCAGATGTTATAGGTCTGTAGTAAACATTTTTATTTTATACCAGGATCTCTAAAATTTGAATTTCCGTGAAAATTAAAATTCTATTTTATGGTATAGATTTTTCATAAGAGACCATAGAGAGAGATCTTTTGGAAATGAGGATGTAAATGAGAATAAGATGTTGAAATTTATCATAGATAAATATGGTGTGCAGTTTTCCATTGTACTGAACTGGTTGGTCTGATTATTTCTGATAAACCTCACATAATGATTTAATACGTCCTATAACTGCCTCTTTATTCTGAATGTACTCCTATAAATGAAGGGTGTAATATATTTGATAATTTCTTTAATATGCGTACCTAAAAGTGCCTTAGAATTCACAGAATGCCATATTCAATTACACCATAGAAGCTCTAATAACCATCTAATACTGGAACTATAAAAATACAGGATTTTGGCTAAATTATAAGTTTAATCAAAAAGGAAACTTTGTTTTTGACATTTCTAAACCCCGAGTACTTGTTTACTGTCTCTCTCTCTATTGATAATCGACAATATTGACAGACACACTTCAAAACCAGAAACAAACGTTCGTTCAGAAAACAAATATGGCATTTGCAAGACATAGCTTGCGTAGTAGCAGGTTCATTGTGTTGTTATTTTTAGTTAATTATTCCTACACAATGGCCCGCGGGCTTAACTGTAAATGAGGTCCGTTTTAAACGCAGACATTATATCTCTCGCGTCTGCGCAGTCAAAGGAAATAGCCTGTACAGCAAAACATTTGTTATTGGAATTTTTCTAACTTGCAACTGGCCACAAGTTAACGTTTCTAACTAGGTGATTACAGAAACAGAAAAGACTTTAATTGTACAAATCTTGCCTTTTTAATGCCGTAAAGGTAAAGTTAGTTTGTAATTGAACAATGAAATGGGGGGGCTACATGTATTAGCACACCGAAGATTTGAAAAACAAGAAATAAGTCTTCTGTCTGATTTTCGTGCTTCAGTGGTACTCATTACATCTTAACACAGCAGAACTGATCAGATACGATGCATCATCAGCCACCTTCAGCCATCCAGGCTTTGTTAGACAATTGGCTGTGGCTTACTCTCGCGGCATATCGGAATCGCCGAAACCAGTGGCAGTCCGTCCATAAGAGCTGCAGCACCCCCTATAATTTTTCAAAAGTTGAAACATTTATTTTTTGTGTTTATATAATTTGTAATAACTTATTTCCTCTATATCATTATTTTAATATTGCCCCTTACGTTATCATTATCCACTAATCGGCTGAACTGATAGTAAGTCCACGGGCGAGAAGTGCGAAGCAGAACGGGGTTATCCCCCGGCTGCAAGGATTTCAGCGCGGTTAGCCGGTCAAAAGTAGTGAGCGCAGCGGGCGGTGGAGTGAGGGGCAGTTCACTGGTACAGTGCGTATCGGAGCTGCAGTCCCCACAGCCGGCTTATTGAAAACGCCCTTCCCGGTACCACGTGATTTAGACTGGTTTCTGTATCAAACTCCTTCGTCGTTATTGTTAATGAGTGTTCAATAATTCTGTGTGCTAACTATTTTTAGCTCTAATAATGATGAGCAAAGGAAGTGTATCATAATTACGGAAAATTACTTTTTCCAAATTTGTCTTTGAGTGAAAAATGATGTAAAAAATCAAGGCCGCCCTCTTCCGGACTTACAAATTGTTAAAACATCGTCGATCACGTATGGGTTTTCTCCTGATGTAAATTTACTTTTCATTTATTTATATTGTTACGTGTTGAAATACTATTCAGATTTTTTTCCCTTGCCAGCACTACCACTGATCAGACCCACGAGCCGCCACTGGCCGAAACTTCCATGGAAAACGTCTGATCTGAATTGTCAACTGTGCTGGGATAGCTGCCACCTCACAATTTCGTTAAGTTACGACATTGTGGTTTGTTGTAGAAAGATAATAATATTGAAGATGGGAAGTTATCAAGCGGTATGGCGTCCATACCGACTGCGATGAAAATCGATCGGCAAATGTCTTACACTTTTGTAGTTGAGTCAGGAAACGTACGGGCACATTGAAGCACGCAGTTCGTTAATAGTGTTCCGAAGAAGGAAAAATCTTCAGAAGCCTAAAATGTGTTTTCAGAGAAAGAGCACTCGGTTTCATTTCGTTACTTTATTATTATTGTTGTTGTTGTTGTTGTTGTTGTGCTTATTACTGTCGCATGTCATTAAGAGTAAGTAACAATATCGTAGGGTGTTTTGGAGAGACAACAGCTTTCTTGCCCATTTGATATCTTTGTTTGTTCTGTGGAAAGAAATCATTACTTAAAACAAAGTCGAAACCAGAGAGGACCGGTTTTGTCAACAGTTGCCCTGTTGGTAATCCCATAATGCTAACATAATATCTTCTTTCCGAATATTTATATCAATATTTGTCTTCCCTCAAAAGAATATAAAAAAGCTATAACTTTTAACTTAACCTTGGGGCCCCCAGTAACTTCAACGTTTTTTGTATGTGTCGATGCACCCGTGCGCGAAACGCGTGTTCTTTTCACTGCCCCCCCACCCCCCATCAAACAAATCCATAGGCGTTTGCTATACAGAACTGATTGTGTTAAAGGGACTGGAAGCAGGAGGGTCAGGTATTTTTTCACATTGATATAAAATGGCTGACACGTAACTCCTTCCCTTGTCTTCACCCCATGCAACTTCTATTGTCGAGAAACCATTAGTAAAAGCTGTTAGGGGACACAGAATGCCTGCTACTTTTTTCGCCATAAAACTGGCAGAAATATACCAAAAATATAAACCCAGTCTCATGATCTCCCAATAAGAATCACCACCAGAACATAAAAGATCAAGGCTCCATGATGCAGTATTATAATGGCAGTGAGTGTAAAAGCATATAATGTCGTAAATTTGCCAATAAAATGTGAAGAATAATCTACTATGTGTTTTTTGTTGCTGTTGTTTGCTGGTTTAGGTGCCATATATATAAATCAGTGTTCTTGCAGTTAAATAACACTCTCTATTCAGTCTCCACACCAATCCTACGATAAAAATCAAACGAGGTTGTTAAGATACATTCTGGTGCAGAACACAAGTATATAACATTATTTGGTTAATGCTTATAAATACAAGCAGCAGACTGGGGTCGTCTCACACCAGACTTTGGGTACAATGTGTTACTGTGATTTCCACTTACAGTAAGTTCTCCTTGCATCTGCACGACAGTAGAGGTAAATGAACGGAAAGAATGCAAAAGAAACACTTTTAAAAATCAGCCGATGTATAGATTGTGATTTTTTCGGTCTCAAGGGATTAGGTCTGAAAAAGAAAGGAAATAAAACTAAAGAAGGAAACATGTAAACAGAGAGAGAGAAAGATGTAAATAAAAAATATTAAAGCATTGAAGCAAAATAAATGCATTCGACTAGATGAAATGATAGCAACAACAAAAGTCATTGAGACCAAGGACCAGTTTGAGTGTCATAATTAGAGGGTGGTATTAAAATGGATCCTCCAAAAGTTGGTTAAAAAACTACGTGTTGGTTTAAATTAACGTGGGGAAGTCTTTATATGGCTGCTCGAGGTAGAACTTAGACCATGGAAATAAGACAGCAGAGGAACATACACTAATCGTCCATGTATTTCTTTAAATATTCTATGCAAGATCCCGAAAAATACTTCAAATAAATGTTACAGATTTTAATGTGATTTATACGAATGAGTATTTTATGTGTAATTTTTAAAATGACTTGCATGTAACGCACCGTATCGGTGTTATTTAATCGATTAGGTCCAGAATTAAATTGGCCCTATAAATTTCAGTGTGGATCTACAGTACTAAATAGTCCTGTAATCTAAATGCACAGAATTTGTTGGATAGTATGCGGCGATGGTAGAAGATACAGACATGATTTTCCACTTGTGCGTTAATTTGATCTACTTTGACCAGAAAGGGTTGTTAAATTTTTGAGGGGTAGTGCACCGCTGCGTTGTTCAGTCGAGTTGCGTAGACCTATGGAGCAAAAAAGTAAAAGATTCTGGTCTTTGACACACGAGTTTCAAGTCTTCAGTCATGTAAACCCACAAGGGATTGTACTTGAAATATTGCACAACATTTCATCTGGCTGAAAACATTTTAATAGCATGAATTCATGGCGTTTCTTTTCACACTGAACTGAACCGCCTAGTCGTATAATGTGGGGGTTCGAAAAACCTCTTTGAATCGTAATGCTTGTTTGTATGTTGTGAAATGGAAGGGGTTGTTATGTGTTGTGAAATGGAAGGGGTTTGTATTCTGGTTGGGAGGTCCTCTTAAAAATAGACATTGATATTTTTCAAGTCTTTTTGATGTTGTTAACTGAATGACATTTTCTGTTACGGCTAGAAAGCATGTTTAACAACTGGAAAGGTTCTCTGTTATTTGTATTACACCGGTACGCTTAGTATTACAGACGCACCCTCGTACATTACCCCCCAATTTCCTCAGCGACTAATGAGACCTAAAGTATTTTACTGTTCAGGAATTTATTAGTGAAATAATCTGACTTTTTATAACTTACCCTAATTTTACTGCGTTTTTGTTGTTAAAATATAGGAACAATTTAACAAATAGTAATGCGTTTTTAAACCTTTCTTGATATTAGATAACGTTACGTACGAAATCCCTCCTTCAGTCTGTCGAATTATTCATTCAGACTTCGATTTTGTTGTATACGACTACTCTAATCTGAGCTGCGATAGCTTATTCGATAGTATGACTGGGGATCGATTTGAGGCTTGGGCAGGAATTAATGTTCTTTGTGCCATGTTTATATTGTTTCTGGGACCAACCTAATCTGTTCAGTTGATGCTTAGTGGCTGAGATTAATAAAGGTAGAAGAAAGTTGTAAGATTTGAGGTTTTCACAGCGGTGAGTATGAAGATTTCTGTTTTCTGGGTTGTTGCGCTGTGTAGTCTGGTCGATGTTAACCAACGTTTCAGAGGTCATACTGCCTCCGTCATCAGGGCGATATCAACCCAGAAGACAGAAATCTTCATAGAAGAAAGTTGTAGATTTTGTGCGTAATAAAACCTGCGGGGTTACAGATACATTATACATTCGGTGACGTACGCCCATCAGTGCACCCTTAGTGGGAACAACGCCAGATCTTTAGGAAACAGTGAACGGCTCATTATGACATTAGTGTATCCTGAATATCAATTAGTGGCATATGCGATATGAGACTGTAAAGTTTCGACGAGACCACAGCTACACACAAGTGAGTAGATGCAGGATGGGGAGGGGACACAACGTTCAATATATTTCGTAGGATTTAAAGACATCGCTGCTCTGAATGAACACAAAGGAAATGCATGAAAGGGATGACAATAGATAAAGGTTTATATGAACTATAAAAAAAGAATGAATAAGAATAATAAATGCTTACAGGGGGCGTGAACCATAGCGGATCATAAGCGAACGACACCCATAATAAAATTAAAATAATGATAATACAGAATGAAAGTAAGTTTAAGTCAGTAACCGACATCCGGGGAATGCATAGTGTGTCCAGATATTCTTGATCAAATTGCTCTGGTTTTCAGACAACAGTTAAGGTATTTAATTTAGGTGGCTGCGAAACTTTCTTGATTTAACAATCGATAGAACAGCAGTGGATTTTCAGTGAAACGGCAGTTGTTCCACATTTATATCGGGTATAATTATTACTGTTCAACTATGTTAGGTTAGGTTAAGTTAGGCTGGGTAACGTAACGTTACGTTACATCAGGATTAGTTTTCATTTCGTTTCGTTATGTAAATTAAAGATTTCCCACGTCTCAGCGTTCAGCGTCGTGACATTTGCTGTCGCTGTGCTCGGCACAGTTTTACTAGAGATGCATTGTTCCGGAGGTACGTCTTTACTATATCCTTCCTGTCGTTCGGCTTTGTTTTCCTCGATATTGTCTTGTTGCTTTTGTAAGCTCCTATTGAAGACGGCGCAACAAGCCGGAAGACTCAACGCCGCGAAAACCTCAAATCCTATAAGCTTCTCTTGGCTTATCTGAAATGTCATTGCCGGTGTCGTTTGGCAATGCGACGGTCCGCGTAGTTTTTCTGACGCCATGTCCACTTTTATCCCCGGTCTCTCCGGCGCTAAATTTGGTGCCCCAAGATGTTGCCGATGCTCTAGGCATTGGTTTTCCGACATCGCTACGCTCAGCTCCGGCTTTCCAACGTCGTGTCCGAGGACATTTCGAGTTTTATTTACGCCAAATATGTCGTCTTGTCGGGTCGCCGCTACAAAAGGCGTCGCTGTGACTTCTTTGTGCTCAATGGCATCCCGTGTCTCATAAATATTAAATATGACCTTTTTTGGCTTCGTCGCGATGATTGGCGTCGCGACGCTCGGCTTCGATTTCCTGAGTTGTTTCCATTGGCATCTTGTAGCTCACCTCCGGCAATAGTGGCGTATTTTGGAGGCATCTTGACGAATGGCGTCGCGACTCTCGGTGTCAGTTTTTCGATCTGGTGTTGAATGGCTTCCCATTGTTAGTCTGTGATAAATGTGACGTGCTTTGAATCTAAGTCATAAATTATGAGCTGAAGTTAACATAAATTAGACGACATTATCAGAGTGACAAGTAGTTATTAATAGTTTATTTTAATACTCTTCCTGACTTCAGTTAAAACAGTTTCTTTGTTGACCGTCTTTGGGTTCATGAACTGATGGTTTTTATTTCACTAATTATTTGTGTCTGTATTCTGCCATGGAACGCAATTAATTATTTTCTGTGAACCAAAATTTCTTATCGTTATAGTTTCGGTCACTAACATTGCAAATTTTGGTTCGTTCTGCAGTCTTATAGCTTCATATTCTGCGAGTCATCTCTCGAATTGTCTATCAGAGGGATCGCATTGTTATGGCATCCTCTATACACAGTATTCGTTTTCCTCTTAAATAGGCAACTAATCAGCATTTGAATTTCATGGCTCTGTATCTTTTATAAAATTCGTTATACGGTTGAATAAAGGATTAGATGTGGATGAAGATCCGTGGCTTCATTGATAAATATGACACGGATCTTCCTTTGCAAGTTATAAAAGCCAAGCATGTATTGTGCTAAATCGCTTTCTGTCAGATCTAACGGCGACTGTGGCAGGAATCTATTACTTGATATGTTTGCGTTTACATTTAGGAGAACAGTTCGAACAGAGGCGAACGAATTCAATTGCAGTTCTTGATCTTTTAGGGAAAACAATCTAGGCAGCGAAGAAAGAGACATATATTCGTAGAAACACAATTAGAACTAATTGTTTATGAGTTTCCAAAGTATGCGGGTAACTATGACATTGAAAAAGAAGTTTGCGCTGTACAGAATATGTAATTTACTGTGTATGATCATCTATATGTGAATACTAGCAGCGTATACGCAATGTTACTGCTGCGAAATTTCAGATTCTTACGTTTAATGCCCCAAAGATTAACATAGACTTGGACATTCGACACGTGTCTTTGAATATCAAAGAAAAAAATATTATTCCTAAACCCAATAGCTTTATTGAGACTCGAACCTAGGACAGATTTCTGGTTTTCAAAATTTGCTCCTGCAAACTCGCCGCTAAAATAAACAATATTTTTATGCTTCCATTCTGTTACCGAGCTACAGAAACCTTCTTTATCAGACGTCGAACCAACAACAGATTTTTGTGGTTATGATTTTTCCCTTGTAATTTCCTGTTTGAAACGAACAGCTTTGGTCTTAGCGCCGTTTTTCATTCGTATGTAGTTTCCGAGCAATTGAAAGCAACCTCACCGGGACTCGAATTCAGTACACTATCGGAGTTCTCACCTTTGTATAATCTATTTTTGGTCTGAAGGAATAAGAATGTCAAGTTTGGTATGTTTCGGTTTATCCGTAATCGAGCGATAAGCGAATGTATGTACGTACGTGCA